AATAACCAAGGATTAGTTTGAAATTTGATTTCAGATCTGAAAGCTTTCAAAAGAAAACTTCCGTTTAATTCCATTTGTCTACAGTTTGATAATTGAATGCTCTAATAAAATGGGAAAAATCAGCCCGAAACCACTTTTGAACAGAGAAATATAGAAACCCGGATTAAATTTTAAACCTGGGTTAGCACTAATCAGCCTTCGAACAACTGGGCCCAGTTCTTCACCAACGCGTCATTACCGCCAAATTCGCTCCACTGTTGTCGAATGGCGCTTTGTATCAATGGAATTGCACATAAAAAAAATGATTTCAAATGGTAAATGTACCTTGCTTCTCCCATGACATCATCTGGCCCCTCCTTGTCACTATCGTGCCGAGTCACACGGCCGCTGTTGTAAGAGAAGACAGGAGTGCTGTTTGAGATTGACCTACGTCATATTTTGATGTTCCACTTCTCTCCAGTGCCGCATTAAATTTGGTAGGCAAATCAAAGGAGTTGGTCCCGGGAATCAAAAGCGACAGCCATTGAATCGTTGAAAAGAAAAACAAAACAAAACAAAACAACAAAACAACAAAACAAAAATGTTTGAAAAAAGAAAAAGAAATAAAAAAAGGTGATTTGAGATTGAAATGCTTTTGATTTCAGTTTTTGCTCTTGCCTCCACTTCTCCATTGAGCACAAGATCCCTTTGCTGTGTGCTGCTGCTCAGCAGTTTGTAGTTAAAATACTTTCAAAAGAATTCAAAAATGGAATCGGTCCAGGGGGGAACAGAGTGCCCAAAGTCAAAGAGTCATCCGAGAATTAAGTTAAGATCAGCACAAACAAGCCAATTACCACGGATTAATACAGGACGTTTTAAGAATTTCCATTTGAATGGAATCAGGCTAAGTAACATTCTATATCCTATGTTTCCATTGATTTTATATCATTATTGTAAGCGATCTATACATCTTTACTCTCTGTAACGTTCGTAATGTATTTTAATGAGCGAACTAAAGACACAACAACATTACCATTACAATTACAATTAAATGCACAAGAAGAAAATAGAGGCTGAACCCTAACCTGGTGGCCTCTCCAGAGTTGCAGACGCACTTTCGCCCCTTGATCTCTTTGTCCGTTTGCTTCTTGGGGGCATGTGGAAATCTTCTTGCTCCCTCAGAGTGCACTTGGCGATATGAACTCTTCTTCGCCCAGCTTATTGACTTTACTTGGAACGTTCGATCTCTCGTAGTGGAGATCACATTATTTTATTTGCACTACGCAACAGAAAGCGTCTAAGGTATTTACAGTCCAGCTATCACGTTTAACTGTATCGCATGTTGGATGACAGGGAACGAACTCAGATATGTGAAAGGAAGCAAATGTGCTCTTAGCTGGAAAGGAAACACGGTCTCAAAACAAAAGCACACGCGTGATTGGCACCGGAAGTCAGATTCTCCCCCGGTGTTTCTTCCTTTTTTGTTAGTGTTTTCTGCCTGTCTGCCTGTTTGTTTTGTTTTTCTGTTTGTTTTTTGTTTGTTTGTGTACCATATTATAGGAAATTAACAATGCATGTAATT